GGGCTGAGCCAGCGGCTTTGGGAACAGCGCAGCGAAGCTGCCGGAAGGTTTTAATCTTGATCCCGCAAAGCTCATTTCTGTCCTTTAGGCAAGGCAGGCATCACCGGGCTTTAGGGAAGCAGCGTTGGGAGGCGGGAGGGGAAAGGGGCAGCTGGGGGTGTTTTGGTTTGTGGTGGTTTGTGGTTTTCAATCGCAGCAGAGGAAATGCTCGCGTTTAATCAAGAAGGGGTGTAATCCCTGCTGAGAGCTGGGAAAGCAGGAGTCTGAACGCCGCCTCTAGACCAGGGCAGTAAAAGCTGCTCCGTGCTCTCTTCTGTTTGTGCCCACAGAGCCAGCACATCACCCCTCTGCCCGTGTCCCTGGGGATTGATTCAGTGGTGCCCTTGGAGCTCAACCTGTCCTGACACACTGTTGGACACATCTGTGCACCGCCTTCCCATCCAGCCATGCTGCACTTTCTCTGGGACAGCATCTCCTTCCCTACACTCCTCATCTTCCTCATTGTCTTCCTGTTTGTCGCCGATTACATGAAGAACAGAAACCCAAAGAACTTCCCTCCCACCCCTTTACGCCTTCCCTTTGTAGGGCACCTTTACTTGATGGACTTCAAAGATCCCATAAGTGGAGTGGAGAAGGTACAAGGGTGGTGGGCACTGTGGCAGAAGGGACAGAGGGATTTGCAGCTCCAGGGAAAGGGTTAAACTAGATGCCATGGGCCAGGAAGGAGGTTTGTCATCACAGGTGCAATTTTCCTGTTTACAAGGTGGGGCACAATTGTGCAGTTATCCCTGGGGCAAAGGGCACAACATGATCCCAGAGTTGCTGTCGCAGCTGTCAGAGCCTTGAAGGACTGAGTTCGGGGCTGGGAGGGTGTCTGGGAAGGGAGCAGAACAAAACATGGATAAAGGTAGATCTGAAAAATCAAACCTTGAGAGGTTTACTTCCTTTATGGCCAAATAATACCAAGTCTGATCAATGATTCAGAAAAGAAAAAACACTCTGAAGTCAGGCAGAGATTTGTTCACAAATTCTGTTTCCTCTCCCACTCTCAGCTTCCCTTAATTTTACCTGTGCCCTACGACAGGGCTGTCACTGTCCCAACAGACACATTTATTCAAATGAAACCCCTTTTATCTTTTTGCTCACCCAGCTTACTGAAAAATATGGTGACATCGTTGGCACTTCAATGGGCAGCATGAAAGCTGTGGTAGTAAATGGGATGCGGCTGGTTAAGGAAGTGCTTGTAAACCAAGGGGAAAACTTCCTTGAGCGACCAGAAATTCCTACGGAGGTTTTCAGCAAGATAGGTGAGTGATCCCTCAGGACATGCACCTCAGCTGGAAGGTCCAGGTGTTGGCCCTGCAGAGGTCTGAGACAGCTGGGGAGAAGGCAGAGCCCTGGAGCTTTTCCACTCCCTGGGGGATCAGCCTTGGCTCACAGGGGGCTGTTTCTGCCAGGACTGATCAGCTCCAATGGGCACTTGTGGAAGGAACAGAGGAGGTTCACCTTGACCACCCTCCGAAACTTTGGCTTGGGGAAGAGGAGCGTGGAGGAGCGCATCCAGGAGGAATGCCGATTTCTCGTGGATGCCATTAAGGATGAGCAGGGTGAGTGCCACGTGCCTCTTTCAGCAGCTGGGCTGAAGGCAGGAACAGGCCTGTTATCATTGCACCCATGGTTCACTGCATGCAGGAAAATACCTTACCTTACAAGGGATGCTGCAGCCCCACCAGCGTCCCTGCTCCCTCCTACAGGGCTTTGGCCTTCAAACTGCCTGGGGAGTGCAGGCAGGTAACACCCCACACATTGTTCATAGCCCACCTTCTGCCTCCTGCTCTCTCGGAGATCTCTGGGAAATACCATGTGTGTATAAACACTGATGTTCACAAGGAATTCCAGTGACATAAACAATGATACTTCCAATGAATTCCAGTGACATCCCTCTCCTGCAGATCTTGCTTTTCAAAGGAAGCAAACATCTCCATAACCTGATAGAACTGGACTACTGGGGTTTTCCAGACAAGCTTGGCCAGCTCATGGGGGCAGCAAGATGTCCAAGCAAAGCTGTGACACAGGATGGTCACTGGGACCACTCATTTAATTCGTATTTCTTGACCATTTTACCTTTACCAAGTGTGTTTTCTTCTCCTTTTCTGACAAGACCAGAAGACAATTGATCTTTTTCTTCT